CGAAGGGAGAAGAGAGGGAAATGGAAGGATGTCATGTCCTTCAACTCCACCCTCCTTTTTGTTTTTTCAAATCAAACGTACTGTATGTATCCTAGAATAATATACTTGAGAGATTTTTTTATAATATAATGGATAATTAAAGTAAAAACATAACAATAAATTTTAAGTAAGAAAAAAGTATGTGTTTCTCTTAAAATATGAAAAATATCTATTAATCTGGGAAAAAATTTCTATTTAAATTATTCTAGATATGACAGAGTATTAAATAAAAATATTTATTTAAGTAGGAAACAGTAATTAATTAGGGATAAATTAAATCGATTAAGGTTTCGTTGAGAGTGTTAAGCTGTAATTATAGAGTTTTTAGTATTTTAATATTGTAAAAATATATAGTCTTTTCTATTTTTAATAAATTTAATTTAACTTTTTAATTTTTTATACATGAATTTCATATGGAAAAATAATATATTATATAAATGATAATTAAAATTTTTTTTTATCAAATAAAAGTGCTCAACAAAAACTTTATATAGAAAGAATTTTTATATATAAATTTCATATAGAAATATAACATACTATATAAATGATAATTGAAAATTTTTTTGATCAAATAAAAGCACTCAACAGGACTTTATGTAAAAAGAAAAAACTTTACAATTGTCATTTATATAAATTATTAAATTTTTCTTTGAAATTTATGTTTAAAAGGTCAATAAGTCAAAATAAGTCTACCAGAATCAAATAAAGGGAATAAAAAAAATATATTTAATATTTATTTTAATTAATATTTTATCTATTTTTATGATAGTAAAAATTAATAATAATAATAAATGGTGAAGCACCAAAAAGCACTTTGAAACAAACATTTCTTTAATGGAGGAAGTATTAATGGAATTAAAATTTAGTTTACACTCAACTTTTACCCACATCACACGTATGACACATAAATTTTTAATTATTTATATTTTTATTATAAATGGTTAAATTTTATTTATTTTTTATTATTTTTTTAATATAATTATCTTTTGAAGATAATGCATATCAATCTCTAATTTCTAATTAGAGTCCCAAATTCAAATTGAAAATAAAAATTATATTTTATTAAATG